TGGGTTCAATCCCCAGTACCAAAAAAAAAATAATTATAATTATTATTATTTATTAAATATGGAGCCCATTCAAAGCTGGCACCACTGTGTAGAAGGAAAGAATCAGGAAAGTTTCTTACCCTCAGAACATGCATTGAACTAATGAATAAGTTAATAATAATAACAAAAACTGCAAATCTTTCAGCCACTGAGTTGGATATAAAATCTTCTGTCTCGCTCTATCCTTATTATTCCCCATTTACTGGTAAAGAAACTGAAATGCAAAGGATTTCAGCATCAAACACTGAAAGTGCTCTTTGGTCGGTGATTAATTTTTCTAACATTTGGAGACATTTTGGAATATTTTGACTTCTGATCACCCTCTTTCTTCTTGAATGTTTCTCTACTGGATCTGACCGACATCACCTCCAGTGAAAATTCCTAAGACATGAAAGGTTAGACACAGAAGATTGGATAATAGTCACACATTTCCTCTAGGGCTGCTGATAATAAATGAACAATTTTTTTTAAATTAAAAATCTTGCCAAGGTCACACGACTTGTCAGTGACAGAGCCATGCCTCCGCCCTCCACCGGTCCGATCCACAGCCTGTACTCTTGACCATGACATTTGCTAAATTAATCACATAAAGTCAGTTTGCAGCAACCAGAAACCTGAGCTCGCTCCAATTAGCTAGGATAGAATTAAAGGTGCTGATTCCATTCTCTCCACCTGGTTCCCGAGTGGAGTCGCAATGTCATGAGATAACAGTTTTAAATTAACTGATGCCTCTTTTTACTTGTTTTGTTTTGTTTTGTTTTAAAAAATCAAGGTGAAATCCGCACGACATCAAATAAAAATGTTCAAGCACAATTCAGTGGCATTTAATATCTGTACAAAGTTGTGCGACCATCACCGCTGTCTAGTCTCAGAACGTAAATGCTGACTTTTTCATCCCTGGTTTTTCCTTTCCATTCTGCCACAATGAGAGTATGCAAAGCAGAAACCGAGAGAGAAATAAGTTGTTCCTAAGATTTGGATTCCAAAGCCCAGGCCTCAGAAGACTGGAGGGTTTTCTCATATGTAAGTAAGAGGTTGAGCCAGGCATGGTGGTGCACGCCTGTACTCCCAGCAGCTCAGGAGTCTGAGTCAGGAGTTCAAAGCCAGCCTCAGCAACTTAGCAAGGCCCTAAGCAACTCAGTGAGACCCTGTCTCTAAATTAAATACAAAATAAGGCTGGGGATGTGGCTCAGTGGTCAAGTGCCCCTGAGTTCAATCCCTGGTAACCTACTCCCCCCCCAAAAAAATGAGCTGGGCTCACTTTGTCTTTAACATGAATGGAGCCACCAAATTGTGTTTGTGAGATTCATGTTCAAAGCCAGTTCAAAGCTAGTAATAGCTGCTTCATTTTTGCAGCTGTATAGTATTCCACAGAGTGAATCTGCACAGTAGTATTCGACCATTGTCCCGGTGGGACCCTGGGAAGTTTCCAGTCCAAAGCCATTAGGAATAGCACTGTCATGATCAGACCTTCTCCTCCATGCCTTGGGCTTGACATGTGGATGTGATTCACTTGACTATGTACCTGTGAGGAGGACTATTGGCCGAGTGCAATGGCCACTTGAGCTTAGCAGATACTGCCCAAGAATCTTCCAGAGTGATTGTGCTAACATTCACCTGGCAACTGAAAGGGGCCCAAAATGGCCAGGGCAAAGCTAGGGAAGGAGAAAGGGAGGAGAACGGAAGCCGGAGGGCTTCAATCATCAGTAAGGTCAACTCTGCGGTAGCTACAGCAGCTTGAGGACGGCCCAGGAGGACAGGCACAGGCTCAGGGGTCTTCTAAAAGAAAAATAAAGGTGCCAAACTGAACATTATCCTCTCTGTGGGAAAGGGAAAGTCTGCCCTGTTAGAAGCCACTTGGATGGGCTCGTTAGGGCCTGACACGGGAAGTGGGGCCACGCAGAGGGCTGTGTGGGTGTCTGCTGCCTGTGGCACCCAGCTGAGGAGGTGTGACACGTTTTTAAACACCTATCTATTGAGCTTTGACAGAGCAGGCACCTGTGCAAACCAGTCCCCCTCTATTTGTGGACTATTCCCGGGAGGAGATGCTTTTTTTTAAAACTCCCATGAAGGTCTCCCGAGGTTCTAGATGAGAGACTCTGAAAATCTGAGCAACGAGAAGCCCCCAAGGAGTCGGGCCTGGGGCCTTGGACTCATGATAAATATTTTGTCCAAAAATATAATTGACTTAGACCTTAATTTGCTGAGCAGAGACCAAGTCTGTTCCTGGTTTTCATTCGGGAAAATTTCATACTGCTTTGGGGATCCCACATCGTTTGGATGTGGAATGTCCCCCCCCCAAAGCCCTCGGGTGGCAGGCTTGGTCCCCCAACGTGGCCCATAATGGCATGGGGTGGACGCTCTGGGAAGTGGAGCCGAGTGGCAGGCCTTCGGGTCATTGGGGGTGTGCCCTTCAAGAGGACGGTGGGACCCCAACCCCTTCCTCACTCTCTCCCACTCCCCAGCCAGGAGTTGGGAGGTCTCCATCTACCACATGCTTCCGTCGTGATGAGCCTCTTCCCCACGGGGCCAAAGCAGCAGGGCCAATCGATCACGGAAACCCTGAGCCAAAATAAACCCTTTTTCTTAATAAGTCGATTATTTCAGGTGTTTGTGGCACTAATGGAAAGCTAATATACTACATAATATCCCACGAACATTAGACCTGAGAGTCCATTAGCAGAGGAGGTAACAGCAAAAGGTAAAATAATGACTTCTAAATAAAAAGAGCTCACTGTCCTCAAAGAAGAAAACGGCCTTCTAGAAACCTCTAAAAGCCATCCACGGACCCAGTCCTGTGTGCATGGAGGTGCTGCTGTCCCTGCAAAGCACCCACCAAACGGCTCTCGGTGGCTGAATCCAGGGCCCTGCAGCTGGACAGCTTGGATTTCGATCTCAGCTCCCCGCGGACAGGCTGGGAGACACTAGGTTACCTCCCGGGACCCTGGTCCTCATCTAAACACGACCCCATCACGACATCTGCTTCCCTGAGTCATGATGGTCGGTTTCATGATTTATTGAGGTGAAAGTCACATCACATAAAATCCACCACTTTGAAGGAACACGTCGGTGGCATCTGGTCCCCCCACGGCATTATACAACCACCCACCCCCTTCTAGTTCCCAGACACGGAGTCTGTTGAGAGCAAAGGAGTTCCTAGATGCCATCTGTCTGGAACACAGGGACACTTAATAAATATGAGCTGTGGTCATTGTTGTGACTTCAAAAGAACCTACCGTAGGAAACGGACAGGTGGGTGGTGGGGCTTGGAGAGGTGGAGGGGCCGGCATTCAGAAGCAAGGCCTCCCGTGGACAGGGCCACAGTGCAGAATGCAGAATCAGAGGTGCCCCAGACACTGGAGGCCACAGGATGTACCGTCCTGAGAGGACCCCGGCCAGCTGCAATCAACCCCACAAAGAACCTTCACCTGGAACAACAGAAGAGCCTCTGTCCGCAAAGCCTCTGGCCCTTGCCTACGTTTCAGCCTTAATTCTATTTCTCCTCTCCATTTATTTTACTATTCAGGTCAATTTCCTTAGGTTTTTGATTAACGTAGGACACAATTAGCTTGATGTGGGGGGATGGAACTGGGGATTGGACTCAGGGGTGCTCTACCACTAAGCCACACCCCCCAGTCCCTTTTTATTTTTTATTCTGAGACAGAGTCTCACTAAGTTGCTGAGGCTGGCCTTGAACTTTCGATCCTCCGGCCTCAGCCTCCCGAGTGGCAGGGATTACAGGTGTGCACCACTGCACCTGGTTGAATGAGTTTGATTTTAAAGGGTGTACCAGGGTTCCCAGGGCCTCCCGGGATGAAGCAAAATAAGAAATGGTGACGTGATGCCATTTACAGCAAGCTGTCCTCACATGCTTCTTCCCTCCCAAGAAGCAATCAGAAGGGATGGGCCTACTAGGCTGGGATCAAAAGAAAAGGCACATGGCTCGGGAGGCTGAGGCAGGAGGATCGAGAGTTCAAAACTAGCCTCAGCAAAAGCAAGGCGCTAAGCATCTCGGTGAGACCCTGTCTCTAAATAAAATACAAAATAGGGCTGGGATGTGGCTCAGTGGTCGAGCACCCCTGAGTTCAATCCCTGGTACCCCTGCCCCCCTAAAAAGGCTTGTCAGGAGGACCTGCCCCTTGGTTGGAGACCTTTGCTCTGCTCATGGGTTCTGTGAGTTTGGAATCAGGACAAGGCATATTTCAGGTGGCTTCTCACTGCTCCACCATGTCTGCACCTCCTCTGGAGGCTGGGAGTGAGTCACCCAGACTGCCCTGGAGCAGACCTCCTGTCTCTCACTGGGGCCACCCCTTCACCAAGGACCAGGTGGCAACTCCAGAAAGCTGAACTTCAGACCCTGCTCCACCTGCCTCAGTCTGTGATGTGAAGGAGAAACAACTTGATGACTGGAGCCACTGAGACCTCGGGGCTCTTTGTTTCAGCAGCTGGCGGCACTTATGCTGATTTATAAGACCATATAAAGATGGCAGCCACCTGGTCTCTCTTAATCTAGGGGAACATACTCAAGCCAAGACCTGTCGAATTCACCTCCTAACTCCATCTTCACGGGCACAACCAGCCTCATCTCACCTGGACCACGGCAGGAGCCTCTGTGCTGGCCTCTGTACCCAACCACCCCCTTCTTCTGACTCCCCTGCTTACAACCATTCATGGCCTCCAATTTCCCTAAGGCCAAGTTCAAAATCAAACCCATACATGGCTTCTCGCTCCCCTCGACCTCAGGACTCCCTCTCACCTCCTCTGAGGCTCCTCATCACACTCATGACCTTTCTCCTGCTCCATGTCCCCGTGTGGCCAGGGCCTGCGTGGTGCATGCCACCAGTCTCCTCTCTGTTCCCTTCTGGGGGTGGCAGCACCTCTTTATCAGGGTCACTTTCTAGTCTGTCTTCCTGCAGTTCATTTTAATCTACTTATATTTTTCTATTATTTTTTTATTGTAGGGGGAAACAAAAACACAAGGCTGACCCTCAACCAATCTCTTAACGTATGCTGTGTATTTCTTCGCTATAAGCACAGTGTTGTACATCACATCTCTGGAATCTTTTTATCTTGCATGACTCAGTCTCTGAGCCCATCGAGCAGCGGCTGCCTGTTTCTCCCTCCTTCCACGCCCTGCAAGCACCAACCTGCCTTTTGTGTCTATGAGTTTGAGAAATTTAGATTCCTCTTGTGAGTGGAATCATATAACTGGCTGATTGCATTGACCATAATGTCCACAAGGGTTGTCTGTGTTGTCTCATGTCAGGATCTCTTTTTCAGAGTTGCATGATTTTCGTGTGTGTGTGTGTGTGTGTGTGTGTGTGTGTGTGTGTGTGTTTTCTTTATCTGCTCATCCGTGAGTGGACATTTAGGTGGTTCCCACTTTGTGGCTATTGTGAATGATATAATTAGTATGGATGCCATGGTTTGAAGGTGTCCCCCCAGAAAGCATGCATTGGAAACTTAATCCCCATTGCAACAGTGTAGGGAGGTGGGACCTAATGGGAGGTGTTTAGATCATGAGGGCGCCACCTTCGTGGGTGGATTTATGCTCTCAGTAAAAGGATTCAAGGCTGGGAGTTCAATCTCTTGCTTTCCTCTTGCTCTCTCACCCGTGTTCTGACACAGCAGAAATGCTCTCACCATCTGCAGCTGCTCAATCTTAGATTCCCAGCCTCCACAACTGAAAGCAACAAACCTTTGTTCTTTGTAAATTACTTAATCTCAGGTATTCTGTCATAGCAGCACAAAACACACTAATACAATGCAAGCACAGATATCTCTTCAAGAACCTGACCTCAATTATTGGGATGAACACCCAGAAGTTGGATTGGTAGACCACAGAGTTCTTCTATTTTTAATTTTTTGAGGAATCTCTAGTTTTTTGTTGTGGTTTCAACTTCTCCCCAGTCGACAATCCCTGTTTTGCTGGTTGGCTGGCTGGTTGGTTGTCTTATAACAGCCGCCTTAACGAGTGTGAGGTGATACTTCACTGTGGTTTAGTTGGCCTTTTTCTGATCATCAGTGGTGTGGAGCATCTTTTCACATTTGTGTTTCTTCTTTGGAGAAATATCTACTCAAGGCCTTTGTCCATTTTTTCAATCTGGTTATTTATTGTTGGGTTGTGGTTGTTTTGTTGTTGAGCTGTAGGAGCTCCTTACTGAAGAGACTATCTTTTCCCCACTCTGGAATCTTGGCACTCCTGCAAAGATCACTTGGCTGTACGTGTGGGTTTGTTTTTTCCTGGGCTCGCTATTCTGTTACATGGGTCTGTATGTCTTTGTGAAGTACCATGCTGCTTAGACCCCTGTAGCTTTGTACTACTCTTTGAAACCAGAAAACGTGAAGCTTCCAACTTTGCTCTTCTTTCTCAGGATTGTTTTGGCTATTGGGGATTCTTTGTCATTCCAGATGAATTTTAGGATTTTTTTTTCTATTTCTGTAGTCAAAAGAGTCTGATTGGAGATGTATCAGATCTGTAGGCCACTGTAGAAAGTATGGACATTGAACAATATTAAGTCTTCCAATCCATGAGCCTGGGCTGTCTTTCCATTTGTTAGGTCTTCTTTAATGTCAGCAATGCTTTTTAGTTTCCAGTGCATAACCCTTTCACCTCCCTTATAAAGTTTACTCCTAAACTGTTTGGGTTTTATTCTGTTGTAATGGGGATTGTTTTCCTAGTTGCCTGGTGGATTATTTATTGTTCATAGTCATTCATTGTAAAACAACAACTACTCTGCTAATATTTTCTCTGCTAATTTTGATTCCTGCTGAATTTATTAGTTCTAACATATTTGGGGATGGAATTTTCAGGGTTTTCCACACCTTAGGTCCTATCATCAGCAAAAAAAATAATGTTTACTTCTTCCTTTCCAATTTGGATGACTTTTATTTTATTTTTCTTGCCCAATTGCTCTGTCTATGTTGAATTGTGAGAGGGAGCGTCCTTGTCTGTTCCTGACCTTGCAGAAAATTTTTTCAGTTTTTCCCTATTGAACATGTTAACTATTTTCCTGTATTCCTAGTTTGGTTGAGTATTTTAATCATGAAGTCGTGTTGAAATGTGTCAAATTCTTTTGAGAGATCGATTAAGATGACCACATTTTTTTTATTCTTTGTTAACGTGGTCCAGTACGTATTTATTGATATGCACTTATGAAACTATCCTTGCATCTCAGAGATAACTTACCCGGTCATGCATGGTGTGTGATCCTTTCAATACACAGTTAAGTTCAGATTGCTCGTATTTTGTCGATTTTTCACACCTATATTTCTCAGGAATATTGGACAGCAGTTTTCTTCGCTTACAGTATCTTTTTCATTCATTTGTCTTAATATCATGGCCTGGTAATACCTGCATCATAAAATGAGTATAGAAGCATTTCCTTCTCTTTGATTTTTTTGGGGGAAGAGTTTGAGAAGAATTGGCGTTAATTCTTCTTTCCATGCCCTGGGATCGAGTGTCATGAGAGTCGCACGTCCAGGCCAGGTGGAGGTACCTACAGGTCTCTCAGTCTCTGAAAGCAAGCCCCCACAGTCCTCCTGCCAATCCTTTTCAGTTTTCAGCAGAGTCCTCACATCCTTATCCTGTGCCCTAAAGTCCTGACTCCGAGGAGGCAACCAGCCTCTCACTTCAAGATGATGAAGACCTTCAGATCTGACTTCCTCCATTTCTACTCTACTCCTCGCCTTTCCCAGAAAGGTGGCCCCACCTACACCCGTCCCTCCATCTCACCTTCCTCCCGACCCCACTCAGTTGAATAGGCTCCTAAAATGTCTCAGATGTGTCCAAACATCATCAAAAGGGTCATCACCGGCCTTGACCAGAGCTCTGCCCCCAGCGTCATGGAGGACGAAGACAGACTGTGTGGGGGTGGGTAGGAGGAGGTAGAAACAGGGAGCTTGGGGGGATGATGGAATATTCTAGGTCTTTATTGTTGGGTAGGCATCTGTCAAAATTATAGAACTGCACATGGAAGAAGGCGGATTCTGCTAGATGTAAATGGCACCTCGATAAAACTGACTCCCCTATGAAAATAAAAAATAAATCATCCTGGTTCGACAATGGCCCCTCTCCTTTTCACAGTCTCCTTTTCATTCTGCACATTTCAGGTACCGCTGATATAACAGATGAACGAGCGTCAATATTTCTCCCCTGCTCCATTTTCTGCTCTCTGTTCACCAATTTCCTTCTCATTTTCCCCCCTCAGCGTAGCTTTTCCTCCCCCTCCCTTAATGGCCCTCGGTTCTATAATTAGTCCGCGCTGGTAATTCCTTTATCATGTATGTTTTATTTCTAAAATATTCACTACTGCGGCTGTCCTGCAAACGCCTCAATTCCCTGATCACCATTTTTACAATCCTACACTATTAATAATATCTTCTATTTTGGTAGAGCTTCTTCTCCCCCACTCCCTGTCTGATGAACAAAAGTACTTTGCAGGCATTTTATATCCCTGTGAGGTACTTAGGGAAGGAAAAGAGATTTTGCAGATGGAAAAATAGCTAGGCACAAACACTGCACAGGGCGCTGGCATTGGAAAATGACAAAATATGAAACTGTCAGGAGCATCGTGTTTACCTGGCTGGAATGATGGGCTTTCTCTCATCCAGAGGCCAGCCTCACTAAATCCCCTGAGTAGGATATGCAAGCACACCGCATACCCAGCCCAGGGGCGGGTTCCAAGCCAACACCTGCCCCATCCCACCCCCAAATCGTTCACAGCGTCTATGCCGGAAAACAGGGCACTTTCTCCCAACACACACAGGGCTTCTGAATTGTTGAATTTTCTCAAATTTTCCTCCTCTCCAATGGAATGGTCCCTTTATGGGGGACCACGGTGGATCTTACATCCACTGTGCCTCAGCACACAAAGTCAGCTCTAGACAGTGTTGACCTTTACAACAAGATGGGGCCCACCAAGCATACTGACCAATTTATGTATATCATATCTATATGTCTTTTCAAAGTACTTATTTAGACCTCTGTGCATCATTAAGATACGCAAAGGATTTTGCATACTGACCAATATATGTATATCATGAAGATGCGCAAAGGAATTTTGCAGCAGATCTAACCAACTGCAACTAAGAGTGTGGAGAGTGAACAGCACCCTAATCATGGCACCATGAGCACCCGTCTGTGCCACTCACAACAGCTTGTTTCGAATACGGGAGAAAGGCTACTTTGGGAGCCAGTGGAGAGGCTGAGATTTGAACCAGGAACCACCTTCTACGGAACTTCCTTTGCATAAATCCTCAACAAGGATTGGCAAAGGATTCTTCCCAACCCTCTGTCTCCCTAGCCATTGCCCCCTGTCAGTTTTATAGCCGACTGTTTTCTGAACACGGCCACAGAACTATCTCCCTTCCCACCTGCTGTTCTTAAAATGAGACCTTGGTACTTCTCCTAGGAAGCATTGGGGTCTGTGTCCCCTCCCCTTGAGGCTAGGCGGGTCTTTGTGACCGCCTTGACCAGTAGAGCAAGGCAGAAGGGACACTGCCTGACTTCTGGGACTAGAGCATAAATGACAAGGGCCACGGATGTCTGCCTTGCTCTTGGACCCCAGCCACTACTGGGAGCCCAGCAGACAGCCAACGGTGCAAGACAAGGGTCCTGCACATACGTCTTGGACTGCACAGGCTTCGGGTCTTCCCAAGTGAGTCCCAGGCTTCACGAAATAGAGACTCGCCTGTACTGATGAGCCCTATCCACTTTGCTGTACCTCAGAATTCACTCAGCGGGGCTATTTGTTACACAGCCTTAAAAAACCTTGAAGGAGCACATCTTGGCAAGAGGCACCCTCCCTCCTGTTTTCTTGTTAGACTCCCTCGTTTCTACCTTCTCACCTAAAAGCTAAGGGTTTCCTCTGGATCCGTCTGGGTCTTTGGTCTCTGGATGAGTGAAGCCCTTCGCTGCCTGAATCCCAGGACCGCCTTGGTTTCCTGATGAGATGGTACCTTCCTTCCTCTAGCACCCACCAAGGGGGGCTGAGATGAAGAAAGCAGGGCCAGCCTTTAAGACACAGGGGGCCATCAGGGAGACGGGCAGGAAGCCCCGAGTTCCTAGGGAGCCTACAGGAGGGTGACGGCCCAGCCCCAGAGAGAGCCCTGGCTCCTTCCAGAGCTAACACATCCCACCTCCCCAGCTCAGAAGCTATCCTCCTGGGCTCTGCTGGCCTCTCCTGACACCAACAACCAATGTAACCCTGAACACCTCTCTCTCTCTCTCTCTCTCTCTCTCTCTCTCTCTCTCTCTCTCTCCCCCCACCCTGGCCCCCCGCCCATCAGATAATCACCTCCACAGTATCCCTGGAGTATGACCACCTCAATCTGACCACTTCACCTTCCATCAATGAGGTCCACTGTTTCCTGCTTGGGTGCCCACAGTGGCCTCCTCCCTGGCCTCCCTGCCTCCAGTACAACCTCCCCAAAGCAACCAAAACAACCCTCCTCGAAATGAGATGAGGGACCAGCTGACCACATCACTCCTCTGCCGAAAACTCTCTGAAGAGTCATAGCAGCCTGGTAGAAGGTGGCCTGCACACAGTGAGGACCAGCACTGTTTCATGGGTATAAACAGATTTGGCCTAAATCCCACATGGCTCCGGGGTCCATTGTCGTACACTTTTCCTTTTTCCCTTGCAGTATCTTAAAGACTTCTCCACATTGGTATTCTACCTCCTTCTTGGGGATGTAGGATAATTCTCCATTGTGTGAATGCAAATCACTCTTTAAGACCTTTCTCAAACAATTTCTCCAAAGTATCATTTGCATACAATAAATGTGACCCATTTCGGATGAACAGTTTGGTGAGTTTTGAAAAACTTACAGTGACAGTGCAGAAAGTGCCTTGTATAAGTAAAACTGCGTATTCAAAGCCTAGCGAAGGATCTGGCACATAATAGGCACTCAACCAAATGCCTATTGAATGAAGAGATGAATTGAGGGAGGGAGGGAGGGAGAGAATGAGTGAGCAGTTTCAGGGGCTTGAAGATGCGTCACATGCCTGGACCGAGTTGCTGTATGTCATCTGCTTCCATCTGTCAGATCCCGAAGCTACACCTCAAGTGGGATTCGAGGGCTGATAGCTTTAGCCCTCTGTCACATCACAACAGAAAAAGCACCAAGAGTCTGGGTGTGTCGCTCAACTTTTTTGTCACTGTAACCAAAATATCTGACAAGAACAATTTTAAAGGAGGAAAAGTTTCTTTGAGGCTCATGGGTTTCAAAGTTTCAGTCCATGGACAGTCGACTCTGTTGCTCCAGGCCCGAGATGAGGCAGAGCATCATGGCCGAAGAATGTGACCGAGGAAATCTTCTCAGTGCAAGACAAAATATAATCCCCAAAGTGACCTACTCTCTCCAGTCACACCCTTCCTGCCAACAGTTACCACTCCACTTAAGTTATTAATCCATCAGATGGATTAATCCACTAAGAAGGTTACTGATTGAATAATCATTTCACCTCTGAACATTCCTAACACATGAGCTTTTGGAGGAGACGTCTTATATCCAAACCATAGCAATGGGAGATTGTTGTATTATTTTTACAACTTTTCTAAAGGGGCTTCATTTTTCAAAAAAAAAAAAATGTAGGGGGGAAACGCTGCCTTAGGGGACTCTGCCTGCTCTTAAGAGGGTGTCCAGCCTGAAGCTGGTGTGTCCAGAGCTCAGCCTGCTCTTCAACAACCCCTGCTGCTGGAGGCACCACAGCTGTTCATCCTCTACACTCCAGGGCGATACCTGTCACAGCAGATGTTCCATGAATATTTGCTGAGCAAACAGGTACATGGGTAGATGAATGAATGAGTCAGACCTACATTGCTAACAAAACAAAACTTTTGGGGGGGTTTTGGCAGGAAAAAAAAATTTATCAAAGCAGAACAGTAGCCCTCGCTCTTGTTCCGACCCAAGCTATTGATTAGCTCTCCGTGTCAATGATAATACGTGGAAAGAACAGTTACCTTTCAGTTAGCAATAGCGATATGGCACCTGAAATCTTTCTAAGTATGGAGTCCGAGAAGGAAATGACACACACAGTCATCCTCCATTGCTGAAATCCATTCTTTGGAAGTCACCAAATACGCACCTGGTAGCCTTACTCAAACTTTACATCCTGTGACTGATTTCAGGATTGGGGACTCCTCCCTTCTGGACTTCTCCCTGATTCTGTTTGAGGGAGCAAAGGCTCCCCTGGAGCTGGGTACCCAGGCCTGTAATCCCAGCTTCTTGGGAAGCGGAGGGGTGAGGATAGCAAGTTCAAGGCCAGCCTGGGCAAGTTAGGTAGGGAGACACCGGCTCACAATTTTAAATCACTCCTTTCAGTTATGAGCCCCCAAAGTAATATCTCCTCATTCACCAAGTAGACGCTGTGCCAGTAAAGCGTCCAGCGGAGAAACGGATCGTTCTGATGGACTGTGTCTCAGGCAGACACAGTCCAGGCTTCAGGAGCTGAAGCCATTCTGCTCTGACTCCTGCAGATGCAAAGCTTCCTGCGCTCCAGGCTCGGTGAGTGTCAGCTAATGAACATAATTGGATCCTACTTTGAGGGCAAAGTCCTTCCTCTGGGCGCCTAGAGGCCACTATTTCTATATTAAGTAAGTTTTTTTTTTTTAAGTTACAACCAAAACCAGAGATGATTTTTAATAATAAGAGAGGAAGAATGATGAGCTCAGGCTCAAGAAAAGGTAGACCTAGAGCAAAGGGCTCTGTGGAACTGGCCCAGGCCTGTCTGTAATCCCAGCTGCTTGGGAGGCTGAGTGGGAAGGATCTCAAGTTCAAGGCCATCCTGGGAAAGTTAGGGAGGCACTGTTTCAATTGTTTTAAAAATATATATTTTTAGTTGTAGATGGACACAATACTTTTATTTATCTTTTATGTGGTGCTGAGGATCAAACCCAGGGTCTCACATGTGCTAGGCGAGTGACCTACAGCTGAGCTAGAACCCCTACCTCCCCCTCAAAATGTTTTAAATTTGTAAAAAGGGCTGTAGCTCAGTGGTAGAGCACCAGCCTAT